TTCCCCCGTCCTCTAAGCTCTGCCTCCCTGAGACCCCCAGAGGGCCTGAGAGGAGCCAAGAGAAGTCCGTCCCCACCCCAAGACACCGACAAAGCCCATCCCCGCGCTGGACCGCAGCGCTGCCGGTGGCAGCGGCGGGCGCCCGTGGGTGTCGACATCGAGCAGGCCAGGGCCGCGCCCGTGTGCAGGAGTTTGGCCGCGGCGTCTCTGCAGCAGGTGTTGCCGCCACCTAACCAAGCGGCCGCGCGGCAGTTCTGCCATTAAAAAAAAAAAGATAAAGTCACAAACTATGAAAGAGGGCCACAGTGAAACGTGAAAGCACGAACAACAAAACTCAGGGGATTCCACTGGGAGAGACGCACCATCTGACGACGCTGAGAGTGTGGGCGGAGTCACGGCCATGGTGCGCAGCAGGAGGTTTTAGTGCGTGTCTCCGTCCCGCGGGACCGTGGGCTCGGCGCCGCAGCCGCAGGCAGGGCCTGGGCCTCGCTTCCTCCCCCCCGCCCCTGCCCCCATGCTGCGTGTGTCACAGTGAGAGACCGGTTCTTGGGCAAATCATCATCAGCTGGAAGACACGCCAACTATTTTTAAGTCCACCACCACCACCACCACCACCACCACCACATAAACTCTGCACTCAGGAGCCGGGCTCCAAGGCAGGTGCCCCCAGTAAACGTGGGACAGTGCTGGCCAGCTTCCTGAGAGACCCTCCCTGGTGGCAGGGGCTCCCCAACAGACTCCTGTCCCTCCCCGGTAGCCAATAAAAGGAGGACGGTGGACTCTCCCAACTGCCCGCCGCCAGCAGCTCGGTCCTGCTGTGTCAGAGACGCGGCTGCTGGGTGCGGAGATGGAGTATTTCCTCTTGCACACGGCTGGCGCGTGTCCCTGCGAGTCACGGCGAGGCTGGGGGATCCCGGCCTTGCCCACTGGACCACGGCCATCAGACACGGCTCCTGACCCGGCCCTGAACCCTCGTTAGCCGGTCTGTTTTCCAAACCAGCAGCCGCCAGCAGCACGGCAACGCCGGGCAGACACACGGTCATTTGGAGGATTCTCTACTCTCCCAGTTGAGGGGGAGACCTTCCAACTGCAGCAGGAGCCCCAGCCGGGCCTCGCCCACCTGCTGCAGGGGAAATGCCGAAGAGGAAAACCGCCTCCACGCAAGGCGAAGCCGAATGTGTATGGACAACGGGGGGGGCGGGGGTGTCCGGAAGCAGAGCCGTGACAGTGGCATCCCCGACCTGCACGGGGAATTAGCCTTGACCTCAGGACCGGTAGTGGAGGCCTGAGAAAGCCCAGCAGACCAAAGAAACCATCTGAAAGGAAGCTGCCCACGTCACCACTCAGCCGAGCAAACGGCCCCTTCCCCGGCCCCTTCCCCGCTCGCCACAGGCCACACCAGGTCCCCGTGCTCGAGGCACCTGGTGGAGGGGGGTCTCAGGAGCACGCCCCTGTCCTTGTGCGGGCGGGCAGCTGAAGCTCCTAACCAGTGGCCCTTCCCCTTCGCCCGTCTGCCCGTGTGTCAGGACCTCGCTCTGCCTGCTCTCGGTGACGAGGCAAAGCTGGCTACCTGGTGCAAGAGATTCTCCCCTCCTCAAAAACAAGTGCCACAGATCGACATGTATGTAGGGCCTGTCCGCAGGCAGGGGCCGGCAGGTCCTGCATGGGATCGCCACCCCACCTGCGGGCCCACCTCACCGGGCCAGGCCCCTTCCCCTCGGACTAGCGTTCATCTGCCTGTGTGTCCCACCCAGGGAGGCCCGACGGCCCACGGGAGAAGAGAAACATCTGCATTTTATCTCAGCAGCAGCACACAGAGCCTGGTTGCTTTGCCCGACCCCGTCTGAACCGACCACACTGTCGCCTGCTCTGGGCAGAGCGGCAGGGAGGGCCAGCTGCCCCAGCTCGGCGGTGCAACCCCGCCACCTAGTGTACGGAGATGGAAGTGTCTCGGGCGCCCTGCGGAGCCCACAGCTGCGGAGCTCCACTCCGGGTTTTCTGGGCCTCCACCCAAGCCCGCGGGACCCTCGCGGGCAGGTGTGGCTTGTTTGAGGAGGAGCCCCGCCCCCGTGGAAAGGAGGAGAGGGTGCTGAGCACCTGCTGTGGTCCGGCCGCTCGCACTGAACCCAACGTCGAAGCATCGGAGCTTCGGGTTAATCTGTGCTCCACGAGTATCTCGGCAGCGCAGGTGGCGCCCCCTATCCCGCCTCCCCAAACAAGCGTAACTGCAGGCCTAGGGAAACCGGGGTGCTCCAGCTGGCAGAAGGGCAGCAGCCTGTTCCCACTGCCCAGAGGCTGGGAAAGGGACTGTTGGCACACGAGAGTCGGGTGGGAGCTGGAGGACCCCCCCACAGCCTGGCACACCCCAGAACAATTCAGTGAGACCCTGCGGTGAGAGGCCCGGCCTCGGCCTCTCTGCACCTGACAGGGAGGAGCTCAGCGAGGGGTCCCCATGCTCATGCCCCCAAGAGAAGCAATCGATGAGCACACCCAACCGGTGACATAGCCCTGGGACAGCTCAGACTACAGCAAAGAGGCAGCCCGGACACGCCGAGGACGGCCACAGGACAGTCTAGGAAGTGCCTGTGTCACCACCTCCCCAAGTCAAGGGCAGCTTGAGGTGGGGGTAGGGGGGGTCCTGCCCTGGGGAGGAGGGCAGGGAACCCCACAGCCTCCCCACTGTGGGGCGGGCAGCCCTCACCCGAGGTCCCCGGAGGTCTGCACCAACGCTGGCCCCAGCCGGCGGGGCTGCCCCGGGGCCCCCACCTCGTGTGACACTGTGTGTGACGCAGCGACACTGCGGTGGCGGGCACACTGGCAGGGCCTTAGAAAGGTGTGTTGGGCCTGCTTCTGTCCTCCTGACGTTCCCGGTCCCTTTAACTCACAGGGGACCTTCGGGGTCTACAGAAGAAGGTTGGGTTCCCTGGCAGCCAACAGGGCGGCACTCCCGGCCAAGCTCCACACTCACGTTCGTCACAGGCTTCATCGTTAGACCCCCCTCCGGGGCACGGAGCGGACGCCCTGCACCCCACGACCCGCGGCGGTGGGTCAGCAGCTGAGGAGCTGCAGAGAAATTCCCGCCCGGACGGACGGCTGCCCGGGGCAGAGTCCAGGAGCACGGTGCAAGCCGCCGCCGTCACAGAACCGCAGCTCCGACGTCCCGAGAAGCATCGCCAGTGCCCGCCGGCAGGCAGAAGCACGTTAGGGTCCCCGTCTGGGGAGGCCCCTTCCCTTGTTTTCAGCGTCAAAGACGTGAGACTGGAGGGATGCCTCCACTTACCCTTAACGTCTCGTCTGTCCCCTCGGGCCACTCAGCGTGGGAGGCTGACCACCCACCCAGCCACTCCGCAGTAACCGTCACCGGACACCGCCGGGGCGGGTGTGTTGGGAACCGCGGGCAGGCGCGGGGCACTGGAAAACCGGAGCAGGAGGAGACGGGAGACGGGGGAGGTCAGAGGGTAAGGAGGAGGACAGCGTCCGGGCACAAGGGCGGCACGGGCCGCGGCTCCCCGCGGAGAGACGGGCTCTGCTGGCTCTCAGTGACTCTGCAGGGACAGGCCAGGGGGGGAGGGGCCGGTGTCCCGTGAGCAGGGGTCTGCCCCGCAGGCAGCCACAGACCTCCCCTCCCCCCAAGGAGCCTGCCTGCGTGTGTGCGCCCCAGCGTGTGCACTCGCAGAGTCTCTCATCTGCTGTTTCTCGGACAAAGGAGATGGAGGCCTGCGGCGGCGGACGACAGGAGGCGTCTCACCCGTCGATGTCTCCGCACGGTCACTTTCCACCGTGGTTCGTGTGCGCGTGTCACCAGACACTACAGCCCAGCCACTGCCACCGGGCCCGCGCAGTGGTCCCCGAAAAGGGCTTTGTGTTTGAAAGGCGAGAAGCCACGTCGAGGAATGAGCATGTGTGGGCCCCAAGCACCCCCACCCACACTGACGGGGGCAGGAAACACGCGGGGGACGGCCCAGGGCTCGGCCCGCGACCTGTCTTCGTCCGCGGGGCGGTGCCGGGGCAGCACCACGCAGCCCGCTCGCGTGTGGTCTGTGGCTGCGGTGCGGGGCAGTTGGGGCAAGTGCTGTATGACCCCGGATGCTTAAAATGCTTGTTGCTTTCTGGCCCTTTATAGAAAAGTCTGTGAACCCCTGGTATCACAAAATATACTGCAGCTGTTACAAAATAAAGTCAACGCCAACTACGTATATGAACAGGACCGAATGTTGAAGGCACAATAATAAAAATGGCTTATTTCCAACGCTGCCTGCCTTCTGAGGTCAGTGGGCCTCATTACCTGGGGGAGAGGGGAGTGGGGTGGGGTGAGAAAACCTGGGAGGAAAGCAGGAGGGGTCGGGGCACCAGGAGTGCCCCAGGGGTGTGGACCCCCACACAGTGTGGGGCGGGACGGGCAGGCCCACCCCTGTGTGACTTACCCAGAGGCCCTGGAGGCCAAACATGTTAGGGATTGTAGGGGGAACGCCCCCCTTCGCACCCTGGTTCTGAATAGGATACAAAATAAGAGAGTACGGACAGAGGTCAAGATGGGCCAGCGGCTTTAGGTTCATGTGGTGCACCTACATGAACCCCAAGTCCGAGCAGACACCCCGAGGCCCACCGGTACTGGCCAGGCCGGGCCGGGCTCCCCCACTGGGAGGCCCGCACGGGACAAAGCCCGGGAGTAACCCTGAGAGAACCACGCAGCCGGCCAGGCCGTGCTCCCCCATCAGCAGGTAGAGGGGCTCTGCTGCAGGGTGCAAGAGGCCGGAGCACGTTTAGGAGAAACGCCCTCCCCCTGGGAACCCCGAGCGTGTCCCCCAGAAGGCTCCTGCAACACCCACCCCCACGCGCCCACGCGAGGAGGACACGTGGGCCCACTGAGGAGCTGCGTCCGCAGGACGGAGGCAAGGCCTTCACTTCCCGAGCAAGCGCCCCTTCCGCCCCAGCACGGGCCTCTCCCAGCCGCCCCGGCACAGCCACCCCTCAGCCCCACGGAGAACAGAGGGCGGGGAGAGTGAGCACGTCCATGTTTAATAGAAGCCGGACGCTGAGTGCGCCCGATTCTGTAAAACACAAGCCTCCGAGTAAAGCTGACCGAGGAGCCGCAGCCCCGCGGGAGCCGAGCGGGCGCTCCAGGAGCTACGCGGAAGCTGCCTGCAGGCAGTGGAGGGTGTCAGCAGTCGCCTGGAGAACCTTGAGCTCCTCCGTCCGCAGCGTTTCGACCAGAGTGAGCTGGGTCACCAAAGCCGTTTCTTTAGCTTTCATATGAGAAACCTGGAAGTGATTTTTTAAATGTTTTATTATTAAAGTAAAATATACACAAAACTTACCACTTCGAGCACTTTTAAATGTGCCGTTCAGTGGCATCAGTGTGTTCACGGGGCCATGCAGTCATCCCCGGAGCTGCTTCTCCATCCCGCACGGAAACTCTGCGCCCAACCCCCACCGCACGCCAACCCCCCACGCCCTCCCGCCCTCCGCTGCCCGTCCCCGCGCGCTGGCTGCTCCGGCATCTCCCGGGAGGGGAGCCACACAGGATCTGTCTTCCGTGCACTCGGGTTTACTTCACTCAGCACAGTGCTGTCTTCAAGGTTCATTAACACTTTTTAAATCCCAGTAACGCTTTCATTCAAACGAGCCGATTTCTCAGCTAATTGTAACATTTACTAAGTAAAAATAAAAGGAAACAGGACTTAAAAAGATCTATTACCAGTGATTCATGCAATGATCTGACCTATTCAAAGGCTCAGGGGCTCACGGACCCAGACAACAGTGTGGTGATTGCGGGGGGTGGGGGGGGGCCGGGGGGGGTGCTGTAAAGGGGGGTACATGGTCATGGGAAAACTACACTAAAAATAAATTTTTTGCCCTGGCTGGCATAACTCAGTGGACTGAGCACGGGCTGCGAACCAAAGTGTCGCAGGTTCGATTCCCAGTCAGGGCACATGCCTGGGTTGCAGGCCACGGCCCCCAGCAACCGCACATTGATGTTTCTCTCTCTTTCTCCCTCCCTTCCCTCTCTAAAAAAATAAGTAAATAAAATCTTTTTAAATAAATAAATATTTTTTAAAAGAATAAAATTGCCAAGAAAAAAAAATAGTAATATAAAAGGTTCAGACCCAACGTCAGCACTCAGAAGCAGATCCCACTGACGCCCCTTGAACTAAGGCATTAAGCAACGCCCTTGGGGAACCTCGCCCCTGCCCCCCGCAAGTCCGAACAAGCAACTTCTCCGTCAGAACGCTTCTCGAAGGAAAAGGTGCAAAGCTACGGAAACGTACCTTCTGAAGCACAGCATCAGTCTCCTCGATGAGATGACGGCATATTTTCTGAGCCACGTCCAGACTTGTCTTTTCGTTTGTATCGGAAACTGTTTCCCCAAGAAGTACTTTTTTCCAGCGTGGACTAGAACCAAAATAAAGTAGACGACTTTGACACCTCAGCACCACACCCCGCGCCTGCCCTGATTTTCCATGACAAACCGAACTCGCCCCCAGCAGGGCCGGCAGAGGGGCCACGGGGGATGAGCAGGGGACCAGGGGACCGGCACTCCCGCTACCACGCCGCCCCGTGTCTGGCGTGTCGGTGAGCCGGGTCACGTCCCCCGGGCTCGGGCACAGCCAGCAGACAGAACAGGAGGGCGAGGCCACAGCCAAAAGCAGCAAGAGGCAGAGAAGCAGCTTCTTCCCTCTCCCTAAGCGGCCGTCTCCCCTGAAGGACGGCCACCTGAAGGCAACAGGCTTCACAAGTAAGCAGCTCTGCGACGGACGGTGGGATTGGCGGGGGCGCCTCCTCCCCACACCGGCCACCCCGCAGCGGCACTGGGGACGTGGGCGGGAGGTGCGCTCAGTGGGCGGGCAGGGGTGCGGGTGTTTGGGGCAGGCACCGGGGAGCCACAGCAGGACGCTGAGCCCGAGGTGGCAGGGCCGACTCCAGACGCCGGGAGAAGGAGGAGTGGGAGGAGGGCGCGGAGCAGAGGCCGCGCTGCGGAACCCCAAGGGGAAGGGGCCCAGAGGGGGGGCAAGGGACCGCGACGGTCTCCGAGTGGAAGGAAGGAGACAGAGGCGCTTAGAAACGCAGAGCCGCCAGCCAGCCCCATGGGAGACGGTCTCAGACGCCTTCAGCTTCAGGGACAACGGCTGAAACTTCAGGGGTACAGACTTCCCAGGAAAGGAAGGCAGGAGACCACGTGCCAGGCGCAGTGGTTTGCACGAAACCACTATTTAACTCAATCTGCGCAGCCACCAGCAGAGAAAGCCCCGCTGTGCCCACGTCAGGCACAGAGAGACGCGAGTGGGGACAGCGGCAGGCTCTCCCCCGGTGACGCGCCGACGCGGGCAGAAAGGGCGCCTGCCAACGGGCATCAGGCGGGACCCCAAGGAGGAGGCGCTTCCCCTGCCACAGCCCCACGGGGCGGGGCGGGGGGGTGGCGCCAGGCTGAGGGGGGACAGCGGCCAAGGCGTGGCCCTGAAAACACCCGCCGTGGTGCGTGGTGCGAAGTGGAGGCCGGCTTGCCTGGGCAGGACTCACCCCCTTCCCCAAGGCCCCTTCCCCGAGGCCCCTTCCCCGAGGTGTTAAGGATGACGTGGACACACAGGAAAGTCAGGGGAGGGGCCAGGAAACAGAGGTGAAGAAGGAGGTGGAGGAGGAGGAGGAGGAGGAGGGAGGGAAGACGCAGCCAGGAGAGGCTGCCCTTTTGCCGCCGGCCAGCGCGCCCAAGGGTCTGGTGAAGGACAGGGAGGGGGCCCTGCAGGCCCAGCAGTGTCTGCTGACCACGCACGCGACCGTCTCCAGGGGCGCAGACCAGGGAGGGACTGTTCCCCCCAAGCCCCTACAGAAGAAAAGGGAGCCACGGCGCAGCACGGGAGGCAGCCTGGGGTGGGCGCCCCTGCCCACAGGCCCGCACTATCTCGCCCACCCTCCCCACAGCAGCTCAGGGACACCCCGCCCTCTCCAGGAAGTCCCCCTGCCCGCGGTCCCCCCTGAGCTTCTGCCACACAGCGAGCTGCTCCCCAGCTGCCCGACAGCCCTGGGCTGAGGGAGCTCTGGCCAGGGCCGCACACAGATGAGGGAGCGCCGCGCTAGGGGGAGGACCAGCAGCCCGACCAGGATGCAGGATGCGTGTCTATGCCAGGGGGGGCGCGGCGGGGCACTACCCTCCCTGCCCCCGTGAAAGCGTCCGGGCCTCTCCTGGGCCCAGGGTCGGGGTCTGCCCGGGGGCAGCCAGGGGCCAGGAGCTCCGCTGGCTCCGGGGAGGACCCAGAGACCCAGACTGCGCCGCGGACAGCACGGCGCCCGCGCTCCTGACGGTCCGCCCTGGACGAGGAGTGCCGGTCAGCGGGGGGGCACCTGAGCGGGGACTAAGCCGTTCTCCGGACCCTGCACTCCGACTGGGGTGCCAACCCCAGAGTTCCAGAAACGGTGAAGACTGGGAAGTGGCACCCCCACCCACGGGCGAGTGACAGGGAAGGCACAGCCCCACACACGCAGTGGCATTCCAGGTGGCGGCCACAGCCCGTGACCCTCACACGTGAACTCACAATTCTTCAGCCTGCAGACACAACAGCTTGAGGGCTGTGAGTAACCTCCAGGACGGTCCGTCCCATCCGAACGTCAAATTTCTAGAGTAGAAAAACAGGGACAAGTCCGTCACTTCAGCACCTCGTGGCACATGGCACATGGCTAAAGAGCAAACGGTTTCTCTAACGCGGCCGCCGAGCACTAGGTCACGAAGGCGAGAGAGAAAAACGAGTCTGCAAATACTTAGTGACGAAGCCCGAGCGACAGAAAGTTCTCGTGTGAAAAACAGACGTAAAGGGCTGCTTGCCGGTTGGTTCACTTGGGTACGCGGCTGACCTTGGATGAGGGGTCCCCGCAGCAGGGCCAGCGCCACAGGTCGCAGCGAGGTGAATGGCAAGAGTCCGGACGGCCCTGGGGGCCCAACCCCCCCGCCGCCCCCAGGCTGGGAGCCCCGCCGGGACGAGCACAAGTCACCGCACACGGCGCACGCTCGACCAACACCCGCCTGCCCACGCGCGAGGGCCGAGGGCGGCTCGTCCCCGCGGAGACCCTGACCCCAGCTCGGCCGTCAGACCCCCTGACGGAGCGATTCTCACAGGGGGGAACACTTACTCCGTGAAGCCGTGGTCCTTTAAAATGGAGATCTTCCTGCCCGTCTGTTTATCTGCTGCTGGGAGATACTGAACCAGCACATCTACACAAAAAAATCAGGCAGATTTAGGGTGTACTTCAGACAAAAATATAAGCCTTTCCTTCTCGGCTCACTTTCCCTCCCACTGGCAATCAAAACATAACATGCAAACAGTTTTACCTAATTCACACCAAAAAAAAAAAAAAATCTACCCGAGTCCAACTCAGTGAGGCCGCCACCAGCCCCAGCGAAGCCACAGGAACTCCAAGGTGGAGGACCAAACAAGCCGCCACGTCAGCTCGCGCTCCCACGAGGCACGCGGCCCCCAGAGGCAGGCCGTGGGGCCCGGCAGGACCGCGGGGAGCACACCGCCGCCGCAAGCGCAGGCTCCGCCCGGGGGCGAGCAGACGCCCACCACGCTGACCCCTGAAGCCGGCGCTCACAGCGGCCGGGTGCCCGTGACCGCGGTAAGCAACTGACAGTGAATGTGCAAAAATTAACAAAGCTACTTCGGGTTAAAAGGGTCATGAGGAACTTTCCTATTTTTAAATTGTCTTTTAATATTTGTTTTTGCTTTTTACATGTCAGGACAGCTAGCACGTAAACGTCCCCAAGTCGGCACTTCACGGCCGTCGGTGTCCCACACACCCACTCGGACCCTGGGAGGCTGCCTCCGGGCCAGGCTCCCGAGACGCCCGCGAGGCCCCGGCCCTGCTCCCCCAGTGCATTTCCGCACACGGCATCACCACTCCGCCTGCAGCATGGGGCCCTGGGGCCTCGACCGAGTTCCTCTTCCCGCTAGAACTCACACTAAAACTACCCCAAATCATACACCTGGTAAGTCTGGCCATTCCTTCGAGGCCTGAGACACTGTGCTCTGCCACTTCGGGAGAAGGGGAACTCCATCTTCTTCTACATACTGTCTTTCACGCCGTATTCAGGATTTTCACAGCATAAATCTAATACCTAAGTTACTACCTTAAAAGACAGCCACACCATGCCCTGGCCAGGCGGCTCAGTTGGTTAGAGCAGAGTCCTGATCCACCAAGGTTACAGGTTCAATCCCCGGTCAGGGGACATACAAGAAGCAACCAAAGAATGCGTAAATAAGTGGAACAACAAGTCAATGTTTCTCTGTCTCTCAAAAAAAAATTTGGTAAATAAAATTTTGTTTTAATTTTTAAAAAATAGCCATACCAATGATGATGGCTAGTTAACAGGTCACAAAAGAACATAAATAAAATCAGTACTTCAGCCCTGGCTGGATAGCTCAGTTGGCTACAGCATCGACCCAATACACCAAGGTCGTGGGTTCGATCCCTGGTCAGGGCACCAATAAAAGGGAAAAAAATCATTATTTCATTGTGGCACTAAACCCCAAAACAAAGATTATGTAATATATTTATCTCTGTGATTAACGCAGTGCTTTACATACAATAGGTGTTTAACACCTATTATTTGTTGCTTTCTAACCCTATTGTACCTCTAATGACAGTGAAATGTCTCAGTACAAAAATTTCCTTTCCTTTCCTTCTGTTAACACATTTACTTCCTCACTCGTTTCCTTTTCTTCCCCTCTACTGCCCGCCCTGACGCGATACAACTCTTCCCGGCTCTTCTTATCGTCAGTATTCATCAAACTTTGCTGCCCTCACTCTATTATCGCAACTACACGGTCAGGAAGAGCCAGGCTGCTGCCTAGGAGAGGGTAAACGACAGGCTCTTCAAGGTTTGCCCTTTTTGTTAAAACTTAACCTCGTCCCCAGATAGGGCAGAAAGGTCTACCACCCTAGCGACGCGAGCGCCCCGACCTTGGGCGACGTGCACGCAGGCGTGGGGGTTGCGGGGGGGCACGAAGCCGTACTCCAGGAGCAGCCGCTGGTTGTCGTGGGGGCCGTAGCAGATGAGCACCTCCTCGCGCGGCCTCCAGCGCGAGCCCGTCCGAATCTCGTAACAGCGCGTCTCCTCGTTAAATGCTGCGCTCACCTGCAAGGGAAACTCCGGGTGAAGCATTTTTAAAGCAAGACACAACAGCAGAAAGACTAGGTCACTGCACTGACTTAAGCCAGGTGCCCCTTCCACACTGGCCACGGACCTGACCCACAGTGCGAACAGTGCCCATCCCCACTCACCCCCCGGGGGAAGGAGTCCCTCGGGGTCCGGGGATGGGTGAACTCGGGACCCCTGACAACGGACCTCGGCTCGTGGACGGCCGGGCGGGGAAGGGCCGGGCAGGCCCCACAGGGCTGCTCCTGGGGGCAGCGTCACCAGCGGGAGCCACGGGAGGCAGGCTCCACAGTGACACGTCACTGGTTCCGGGGGTTCAGTGGAAGGACACGATTTGCCTGTTTGAGGGACTTCAAGGCTGGTGCGGGGGTGAGGCCTGGCAGGTTGAGGGCCCAGTGGGGGCAGCTCGTCTGGCTGCCGGCACGATCAGCCAGGGGGAGCCTGCCCCGCCAGCTCGGGGACCACCTGGGGAGAGCAGAGGGCTCCCGGCCAGGCCTCCGGGGCCCCGAGAGGCCCAGAGGATTTCGGGCCCTACAATTCGCAGCCTTTGAGCATGGTGTTACTGGCTGATACTGTCACCGGGATTTGGTGACCATTTTGTGAGTAGACAGGTATGGAGGAAAAGAACAAGACGACCTAGCTGCCCCCACAATGAGGAGGGGGTACAGGCACTGAGCCTCCTTACTTAGCAGCAGATCGCAGTAAGGCGAGGGTGGGCTAACAGGGTGTCACAGACTTCTCAGGGTGGTGCGGGGCATGAAGGGGACGGATGAGCACAGGTTCCACCCAGGGTGCCTCCGTGGGCACCTTGGGTGGGCACAGGGGTGCCTACACACAGACGCCGCACCCCCACAGTCGGCCTCCGCCCCCCAGGCCCACAGGAGGAAGCCCCTCCTGTGCCCGGGGCGGGCCTGGGGGACAGGAGGCTGCAACTCTCCACAGGGGGGTGCTTTCAGAATTCCCAGACGGCTTCTCCGCACACCGGCTCCCCGGTCAGCGAAGGCTGACGGAACGCCTGCAGCGCGGCAGGCCCTGCGTGGGCCCTGAGGGTGCACAGAGGAGCAAGGCCCAGCGCCGTCCTCTACGACGGCGGAGCCCACGGGGCCAGATGCCCACGCTGACCCGTGAGCACAGCACAGATGAATGCGACGGCGACACCAGGGTGGGAGGGAACGGGACCGGTGAGCAGGCCAGACCGAGGTCTCCGAGGGAGGAAGGAAGGGGGACTGCGCACCCCAGGTGGGGGAGGGCGGGTACAGCCCCGGGCTCCGCCGGCCTGGGGAGCAGGGGAAGCGGGCAGAGGAGGAGGAGGAGGGCGCCAGGAGGGAACTCGGGGCCGGGAGGAGAGACGGCAGCACGGAGAGCCGGCAGGCAGGGCCACCTGAAGCCAGCTGCACCCTTCCCCGTGGCTCCGCTCACGTTCCGGGTCACGGGTTCTACACGTCAGAGGCCTTCCCGTGGACACCGGACGTGCGTGCCCCCGTCAAGTCTCACCTGGACGGCGGGGCTGTGATTCAGCAGGTCCAGGTAGGGGGCCAGCACGCAGGTGTCTGGCTCCGCGGAGAAGCACGGCCTCCGCCCACGCGCCAGGTACACGGCTCTGGTGTTGACGGTGCCCCAGGCCCACAGGAAGGCGCCGTAGCTGAAGACGCTCTCCACAGCCTCGGAGAACAGAGGCTGCAGGGAAGAGAAGAAGGCCCTGGAGGCCGTGAACAGCTCCTGCACGCGGGCTCTCTGCTCCCGGGCCTGCGCCTTCAGAGGTCCTGGGAGCAGCTCCACCACCTCCGGCTCCAAACAAACGGGGCAGGAGTAGGCCTCCGGCAGCACCTCCAGGTAGGGCTTCCAGGGGGACCGGTTCCCGGCGTGCTTCTCTGCGATCAGGAAGGCACACAGGGCCACCAGAGGGGACGGAGGAGGCTGCCACCTTTCAAAACCGAAAGCCAGAGTGACGGAGTTACCTTCACCGGAAGTTACGGACCTCCTGGTGGTCTGCTAGGCTCCCGGCGGGGCTGGGCCCCCTTCAGGCGCAGGCGGGTGGGCCGGCGGGCGGGTCTTCCTTCTCCAGGCTCCGCCTCTGCAGAGCGCCGACCCAAGTCCCTGACCAAGTCCCTGATTGTCCCTCATGTCCATCCATTGACACGAGGACAATCTCACCAACCTGAGTCCCGGCTCTGTCTGCAAGGGATTCCTTTCTGCAAAACACCTCCTTGCTTCCAGCCTGGCTCTCTGCTTTTAAAGCCTTTGGTGGGAGTCACCTGTGCCACTGGGGTGCTGCTATAAAACGTGGTGGACGTGGAGGGGCTGATGGAAAGAATCTAGACCCGCCCATCCACTGGGTACACGTGGCCATTTCAATTCTAACCCTAACTCACCATCTCTACCACAAATCATACCCTGCGGTGTTCTCGCCTGTGCCCAAGAAGATCTCAGGCTGCAAGGATGTATTTAGCAAGTTCACACTGATCTTTCCAAGCCCAGATCCCTACGTTACCATACGGCCCACTCAGAACTTCAGGACGACACAGAAAACACTGACGCCACTGAGGGCGCCCTGGCCTCTACTCAGGCCAGTACAGAGGCGCCAGGCCTCCTGCAAGGCGAGGTGGGGCCGGGGGCGGGGCGCACCCCGAACCCCGCCTGGGTTAAAAGACAACACGATCTCGCAGCCCTCAGGATGTAGGAAGCCCTTCTGCGGAGGCTGTCCCACGCTCTGTCCTCGGACGGTCCCCGAACAAAGGCCCACTGCAGCATGTGACAGGAAGAGTTCTCCACTGCAGCGCTGGCCTACTCCCTGTGAGCCTAAAGAGAACTACCTCTTTCAGGATGTCCACAGCCCTTCAGAGTTGAAAGAAAATTCAAGCAAATACCATAAGGGTAAAAGCAAGAGAGTAATCAGTATTCGTCAAGCTCCACTATGACAGAGAACAGAGTCAAGGCCCTGGGCCGTGGTGTCCCCCTACGACCCATTTAATCTTCACTCTCTGCGACAGGCCAGGATGCGAGCCTCCTCCCAGGCAGCCTGCTGAAACCTCTGCCACGCAGTTTACAGTGAGCTAGGACAGAGCTTCCGCATCGCCGCAGGGGCCAGCTCTGCAGAGGGGCCGGTCCTCTGAACTCTGGCTCAGGCGACAGGTCCACCCACGACACAGGCGTGGAAGGGGAAGCGGGGGCGCCAGACGAGCACATGTGCGGTCACTTACTTAGCGACGTACGCCCCCAGGTAGCTCCTGATCACGGTGTCCGTGGTGAGCAGGCAGCTCTCGGGCAACGACAGAATCACCTGTCCCTCCTTTCCAAGAGAGGAAGCCAAGTTTAGCACACCCGGGCTCCGGGAACGGCCGTGGGCACGCATCTCATCGGGTCCCCTTCCTGCCATCCTCTCCCCGAGCCCGGGAAACCCGACCTCAGACCACCCCAGGGCCCCAGTCGGCAGGCGGAGGCGAGGCTGCTCCCACGCAGGCCCTGTGACCCCATGGGAATGAAAGGTCCGTGACGGGACTGGCACCCACCCCAGTGAGCCTCTCACCAGAAAGGGAAGCGGGAACACTCGGACAACGCGAACCAAACTGCCCCTTCGCCGCCTCAGGCCCAGAAATCGTGCTGCCTTCGGGAGGCAGACAGAAGCCCCCGAGCCCCCACCCCAGGCCCCTGCGTCTGCAGTGTCTGGGCCAGGCCGCAGCCTCCGCCTGGCACAGCCGGTGCCCCAGCTGAGGGCAGGGCCTCGTTCTGCCACCGCAAAGGGACAGTTTTCCAGGTCCTCCCCCTGGGACAGAAACCCAGGAAGGAAAACTTAGATGCCCGCCCGGTGCTGACGGCAGGAGCGCAGCACTAAGAAGCCAGGTGGAAGACCCTGCTTTCGCCGTAACGGGCGCCAAGGTCAAGGTTTCAGCCACACGCTGTCTGGGCTCCACGTCTGTGAGTCCAGAGCAAGCTGGGTGATGGCTACTGCCCCTTCCTGCCCCGACAGCCATGGCTTTCTGATTTGTAGAGAACCACTTGATAAAACGTGCTGTATCTTGGGTAAATATCTTCATCCTCAAAACTCATCAAACTGGATACTTCAAATCTGTGCATTTTGTCCTGGCTGGTGTGGCTCAGTGGATTGAGCGCCAGCCTGCCAACCAAAGGGTCACCGGCTTGATTCCCGGTCAGGGCACATGCCTGGGTTGCAGGCCACGGCCTCCAGCAACCGCACATTGATGTTTCTTTCTCTCTCTCTCCCCCTCCCTTCCCTCTCTAAAAATAAATAAATAAATCTTATTTAAAAAAAGGAACTAGGTTTCTAAAAAAAATACAAATAAAAGGTAAACTATTTTACACTAAAAAAACCCGCAAACACATTAGGGCATGGCCGTGTGGCCGCACAGAGGTACGATGGGAAGGACAACGACCCTGGGCCCCGTGTCACCCGGCAGACACCTGGGGGTGAGGAGCCAGCTGGGGGCCATCTGGGGCCAGGCTCTAGGGCCCCCCGCCCTGCTCGCTCCTTCTGCCCCCTCCGCTGGGCCCGGTCTCTCCGGTGAGAGCAGCTCCCTCTCCGAACTCTGAAAATCCGATCTGACTGATATAACGTGTGCCATGGCAGAAACCGCCGGCTGCCACCGCCACTGAGCCACCGAGCCACCAAGCCTCCGCCCCCCTCACTGCCGGCGGGCTGCGCCCCTGGGCGGGCAGACGAGGTGAGGCTGGAGCGTCCTTGGCGGGAGGAAGTCTACCCTTCCTCACCCCTGCTCGGTCCTGCTGGTCCAGCTCCAGGCACCCCACAAAGGACCCAAGGGTGTCAGCCCCATCTAAGGACGCAGGCAGAGAGCTGCGCAGAGCCTGGGCCATGGATGGCCACGGATGGCCACGGACCACCGCACCGGCCAGGCGGCCTACCCAGGCTCGTTCGCACGAGGGCAACAGAACGTCTCCTGTTTACCCACTGCTACTTGGGGTTTGTCTCTCGTATGCCGCGAACTACATTCTGCTGACAGAATTGTATCAAAAAGTGTCTACCAAGTAAAAAAATGTCTGTATGGATGTCTGAAATATTTTTAACCCACTTGGTTTAAAGCACAGTAACAACCCAGCACAACCGACACTGGGCTTCGGGGATAAACAACCCAGCACAACCGACACTGGGCTTCGGGGATAAACAACCCAGCACAACCGACACTGGGCTTCGGGGATAAGAGAGAACTCTCACCTGCAGGGGTGTGGTGCTCATCAGCCCTCTGCCCGTACCTAGGAACACCGAGACGGAGAAAGGGTTTAAATCCTTTCTGCCCCCGGGGCTCAGGGACACCCTCCTGCATAAGGGACGCGAACGAACTTCAGAATCCCACAGAGCTAAAGCCGGGGTCTCGTGTCCTCTGACCCCCGAGGACCCAGAAGCTCTTCCGGGAAACGTCCTGGCCTCCCTCTGGGTATGCGACCCTGGCGGACACCATGGGCTTCAGAGTCAGGGCCCAAAGACCACGGACTTCCGCAGGTCCTCTGCTGGTGCGGGACCTCTAGGTGGGCCTCTCTCCCCAGGGGCCTTACCAGCCTGGGTGGGGGCAGGGCGCTCCTCCCACTACCCACCCGACCTCAGAGGCCTCGGGCCCCTTTTACCAGATCCAGCTTTCCCCGTAACGACTTGAGGCCTCTCTGACTGACCGACCGACCAGTAACGCCCAGTAGGGTCCCACAAAGCCTGTGGACTGCACCCTCCCCTCCTTGCCCAGGCAACCCATTAGACTGGGTGCTTTCCTTACCTGGGCGAGCTGCGTGGGGTGGGCCCAGCGCCAGCAGCCCCCTGGGAGCCAAGGCCTTGGCCAGGGCACGCACAGCCACAGGGTCCCCACCACCACCGCCGCCGCCATCCGGAAGGCTGCCCCTGCGTGCCCGCAGCCCCCCTGCAACACTCAGAGGGCCGCTTCTCTGGCGGGCACTCGTCCGACATGGCCCGTGATTACTCTGTGGGTCTACAGTACTCATCTCTTCAAGTTCGCAGCTCTCGACCTTTTATGCCTCGACCAGGAGGAAACACGACTCAGCAAGGAGGCCCGACACCCGGTACAAAACCTGCTCCCAGAGAGAGCAGCACTGCCGGCAAGGCCGGCCCGCGCCGTCCCGTCACCTGTGCCCACGTGACCAAGGGCACGGGGACCGAAGGCCGGACTTACCTGGGAAGCGGGCAGGCACCAAGTTTGCACCTTCGAACTTCCTATCCTTCAGCCACTTCTTAAGCTCTATAAACTCAGGCCTGCAGCTCTCATTCACTGGTCACGGAGAGAAACAACGGTAATTAAATCCCTGTACAATCAGATCACCGCCAAAAAGAAAATCTCTGATGAACGGCCTCAGAGTTATCATAAAAGGGAATACATTTTTAAATGTACAATGTAACTAAAAAGAAAAACTATAAAACCATCTCAAAGAGGCAGGAAAGCAACTGGTGAAATCTAACATTGTGAGATAGTACCTTCTAGCTAGCCAGGCACTTTCCTGTACAATGGGTCATTCAAACTGGGTTACGCCGAACTCAAAATGATGGCTTTACATACACACAAACACTGACACTTTGCGGGTAATCAGAGGTCGGCAGAGAGGTTAGGACTAGAAAGAGAACCCTGGAAGTCACCCCCAGAGCAGACGCAGCTGAAGCCAGGATAAATACATCTACACCCCCACAAGTTAAAAAGAACACCGGGGCACAAAGAGTTTCCTCTGAGAAACATTTTCTGTGAACCCTGCCTGCGTGCCCCTGACAATAGCTACGCGCGCCTGTTAACACCAAGCAACAAAAAATTCCTTTTTCGTCGCTGGCACCAAGAACATCAAAGTTGTACCTCCTCTTGATTCAGAACTTCTACGGAGTTTTCGTCTTCTCCTCCGGCTTGTTCTTCCTCTTCCCTTCTTCATACTGAAATCGCAGTTTCTGTTTAGGTGTCCGATCTAAAATAAAAAGCATCTCCTTTGCCTTTTCTCCCAGTGTGTGATAATCACTGCTCTTTGTACCTAGAAAGACATAAGCGGACAAACATATTTTATCTGGTAAACCGTTTCTCTAGAGTGTTTTTGTATACAGGGCATTTACAGTAAGAGCTAAATCACGATCCCTTGTGCAGGAATGGAATGCCCATTAACAGTTCTATCTTGAGGTCCTACTAAACGCTGATTAATCCGTGTAAACCCTTACAACTGATTTGATGATAATCCTGTGCTTTGGGGACTCACCCACCTCGAAACTAATCAACATTTACTCAGCACGGACCTAACTACACCTGTGAACAAGCGGGAGCCGTGAAGCCCCCATCAGCCAGGAAGTCTTGGAGAGAAAAAACAAAAACAAAACACGACCCTGAAGTAAATGTAGTTACATGGGGTTTGCAAGAGATCAGGGAGAGAATGAGAGCCAACAAAGCAGACAAAACAAAGACATAATAATAAAATCTAAAATGATTGCTAGAGTTTCCACGTTACTTCCTCAGAAACATCAGCATAGAATCCATTAAAAACGACCGCAGGAGTATTACCCAGCAAGAAAACATATGGGAGAAAATAACAGGGAGAAAATATATGCTAAGAGGTAAGTAACACTGTCCAAGATATATATTAAGTGGAAAAAAAAAACAAAGTTGCAGAACTTTACAAACTCAATGATTCCTTCTAGGTTTGCTTTTGAGGACATTGTAGATGTTTATAAAACCAAAGCATTTAAGGAAAGATATTCAAAGATGTGCAAGAGGGAGGGGCTTTTACTATTCCTTTTGTATCCTCCTACTCTGATTTTTACATATGTTTGAGTACATAATTAACATAGTATGAATGTAACAGGGTGCAGCCAAGAGTGGGGCTCCAAGTAGGGGTTTGTAATAGGGTCCACAAGAGCTTGGAGATCATTGGCTCCACACCACAGTGCCACACCTGCCCAGAATTCGGGCAGCCGTGACCAATTGTGAGAGGAGCTGGAAATGGGGCAACAGAGGAAGACTGGCGCTGGGATTTAAACGGAGGCTGGGCAGCCATTGGGCGTCTCTCTTTTTGGGACCACGCGTCTATGTAGGACCATGCGGCTTGGGTGAGAGTCAGGACCACCAGGCTTTGGAAGTGCTCCCTTTTGCCAGGTGGAGGGTGCCGGGAAGACTGTGTACATTTGTGGGGAACTTTAGTTTGTGTTATATCAAATAAATAATAAATTCCTTTCCTTCTCACTGATCTCTGGTATTAAGAGACATCTTTCCTGTCCTGGCTGGCGCAGCTCAGTGGATTGAGCGTGGGCTGCAAACCAGGCATCGCAGGTTCGATTCCCAGTCAGGGCACATGCCTGGGTTCCAGGCCACAGCCCCCAGCAACCGCACATTGGTGTTTCTCTCTCTCCCTCCCTCCCCCTCCTTTCCCTCTCTAAAAATAAAGTAAATAAAATCTTTTTTAAAAAAGGACATCTTTCCTCAGGCTGTGGGCAAAACGAACCCAGTAGGTGGGGAGGAACCCCTGGAGAAAAAGGAGGGGTCTTTTATACCATTCAGCGCCCCCCTGCCCTGTTCTGTAACATGAATACTACTTGCGTTCATATATGTGCACTTCAATTATACAACTGTTTTTCAAATCTCCTACTAAGGCCGGGCAGAAATGAGTAACAAGACAAGAGCTCCAGGCACTATTAACAACCCACTTCGGCCCTGGAAGTGTCACTGTTTCATCTACGAAAAGCTGGCAAGTCGGCTCCCAGGTCAACCAGGCTGGGGGCCCCTGTCGTCGGCTCTGGTGCGCAGCGCCCTGCTCGCAGACTGAGTCCCGGCTCGCTGCGCGCAGGACCGCGGGTCCGGCAAGCGAGCTCTACCTGTGGAGCCACGATGACAGCCCGGTTAACGCCACCGTCCTTCCTCCCAGTCCGACCAGCACGCGAGCGGTCTGCAGGTCCCACACGCCGCCCTCCCTGCGCCGCCGCAACAGGCCGGGCGAGACCCAGACCCGGCTGGTTACAAACCCCCGTCCTGAGGCTCCTTCGCATCCCGCCCCCCGCCCCTCACCAGCGCCTCTACAGAGGCTTCCTGGACCAACATTCGCCAAAAGTACTAATGCCGGGCCTGGCGGAGGTATGCGACACGAACTCAGTTCTCCTCCTTACACCCCAAAATTAAAATACAAGAACGCTCCAGCACGAGGATGCTCCCGTTACCCGGACAACGGGATGCCCGGACCCAGAAGTGCTTCCGGCTCACCTTGGAGAAGGGCGCCGGCTTCAACATGGCGGCGGGGCAAGTGGGCCCAAGGCGCGTGGACACCGGGAACAGCACCCAAATGATCGCGAATTAAAGAAACGGGCCGCGGCGGCAGAGGGAGGGGCTGGGCGCCGTCAGGACTGCATGGAGTCTTCACCAGCCGAAACCAAGTCCTCGCTTGCCAGGAGGAGCCCCCGTCTCCCCAGCTGGCTACTGCCGGGCGCATGCGCAGTGTATTTCGGATGCGCCGAGGACGCCCAGACCCGCCATGATCTAGGTCCCCGGACCCCAGTTGAGGGGAACCTGCACTCTCATGAGCCGACCTGCGGAGTCACCTTTTGCCTGCTAAAGGGGAGGAACCTCCTAGGCGCGCACCTCAGGCCAGACCCTCAGAACAGGCACCCACCCTTTGGTCCGCTGACCTTCACCTCGCCCCGGAACCAAAAAGCCCTGGCAGCCACAGACTCTGCCCGCCCCTACTTCCCCGACGGCCCAGCTCCGCCCCTTTGGTTGGCCAGCCCCGCCTCAATGGCCTAGTAGTCCGACGATCAACCTTGCAAGAGAATTCCCTAGTTTTTAAGTAAATACTCCTCCCTGCGAGATGGAGCTCAATTTCTGCCCCACCCACCCCACCTTGATGATAAAATATGCACAGTGACTTGGTTCTAAAGAGTACTGAGCGGTATAAAATGTGGGGGGAAGTGCCCTGGCTGGGTGTCTCAGTTGGTTGGAGCGTCCTTCCGTGCACCAAAAGGTGGCAGGAGCCAGGTCAGGGCACATACCTAGCTTGTGGGTTCGATCTCTCATTGAGGCACTGTGGGAGGCAACCGATAGTTTTCTTTCACATCGGTGTCCCCTCACACCCACCCCCTTACTTTGGCTCTGAAATCAACAAACATATCCTCAGGTGAAGAATAAAGTGGTGGAAAGGGATCTTCGAGCAGAGAAACCTGACAAGCAGTGCAGTGGCCCTGTGAAGAGGGTTAACCTCGTGTGTGATGAATTATGTGGATAGGATGCCAGGGATGTAGGGAAGGTACTTTACTTCTGTGGTGTTCCTCTCCAAAGCCCCGGAACCCCTGTTCTCTCTTGGAAAAAAAAAAAAAAAATCATCCTTGGTTGGTGTGGCTCAGTGGACTGAGTGCCAGCCTGCGGACCGAAAAGTGGCAGGTTCGATTCCCAGTCAAGGAACAGGTCTAGTTTGCAGGCCATGTCCCCAGCTGGGGGCTGAGAGGGGCGATGTTTCCCTCCCTCTCTTTCTCCCTCCTTTTCCTTCTCTCTAAAAATAAATAAATAAAATCTTTAAAGAAAAAGGAAAATATACAAACCCCAAAACACTTCATCAATACTCGTAAAATCTGTCAAAGGTCACGAAACACAAGTAATCTGAGAATCTGTTATAAACCAGAGGAAACTAAGGAGACATGACAGTTAACTGCGATGTGATATTCTGCAGGGAACCTTGGATAGAAAAAAGGATATTAGGGGAAAAATAGTAAAATTCAAATAAAACATAAGTTATTTATTACTACTGTAATAGTGTTAGCTTCTTAGTTGTGACCAATGAACCATCGCAGTGAGATGGTTAATAATATGGGAAATTTGATGAGGGTATATTGGAACTCTGTACTACATTTGCCACTTTTCAATCTATTAAATTTAAAACTTATTGAAAAGAAAAGAGTTAGAAATAGATGGTTCCAGATTTGGATCCAAGAGTTAGTGATGTCATCAAAAATCAAGGCTCTTTGTAATTTTCCACACAATATCCTCCTTTTGGAGCTGGCTATTCACCTTTTAGTGTGCTTCCTCATGGTCTCAAAATAGTTGCTGCAGCTCCAGTCATCACATTCTCACACAAATACATTCAAGACAGGAAGAAAGGGGCAGATAAAATAGGTATTTTCCTTTGTGAGGAAGATTAAATATATACTCCCATTTTCCAGGTGGGAATTGACAAAGATTCTCTCCTTGACCAAACTAACTGGGGTCTTCTGAGCCTTCATCTCCGTGAGGCCTCAACCTCAGCCTATACAGTCTGCAGACTCAGCGTGAATGATTTCATCCACTCCACACCCCCCCTCCACCCCAACACTCAAAGACATAAACAAACACTAACATAGTTTCTAACTGCTCAGGGCCTGTTCCCCTAGGATGACTCTAGCCCCTTAAGGAGCTCAAGGCTGCCAAAAGAACTTACTGTTCTAGCCAACACTAAATGATGAGGCTTCTACCACCCTTTTTTAGAGCATTTACTAAAAAGCCTTACACAATATTGTGAAAATCCTTGCTCCATGTATTTGAGACATTATGTACCTCCTACGGTTCATGAGTGTCTTTCTCAAGGACTTGAAAGCCATCCCCTTGAAATATAATTGTGAGAAAGGATGGGGCTCTGTCTCCCAGCTGGAATGTAGCCACGCAGCTGCCCTAATCAGCACTGACACTCAGGCATTTTTCCCTTCCCTGACTCGACTCAAGCCCCTCTGGCCCCCCTCCCTCCTCCCTCTCCCTCCTTGTAAAAAGCCCAGTCACCCCCGTACAAATCCAAGCTCAGTTCAGTTCACACCAGACCTTCTTCCCTAGTGCAGTAGTATATTACTGATTCACATCTGTTCTTACCACTTTAGTATCCAGCTTTTTGCTTTTAGAGAGGGGGAAGGGTGGGAGAAAGAGAGGGGGAGAAATGAGAAACATCAATGTGGGAAAGGTACGTCAATCAGTTGCCTCTCACACCCCCCCAACTGGGGACCTGGCCTGCAACCCAGGCATGTGCCCTGACTGGGAATCAAACCAGTGATCTTTCTCTTTGCAGGCTGGCACTCAGTCTGTCACAGGCGGGCACAGGTGACCAGGTTCTCGGTGATCTCGGACAAAGAATTGAACTGACACCCAGTTTATAGCAGAAAGAGAGACAGCAGATTTATTAAGGCATAGGACACTCCACAGAACGTGGGAGCCGGCCAACTCCGAGCAGAGATTGACCTCAGGGGCAGGAGGGATTCTATTCTTACAGGGTTGATATTCCTGGCTAGTGTTGGTGGGCTTTTATTGTGCATGCACAAGTAGTTGTATTACTTTAAAGCTACTGCACACGTGGTCTCCCATGATTTTCCTTGACTGGCCACCAAAGGAGGAAGTCACACAATGGGAATTTATTATAATGCTATTATAATGGAGCAGGGGTCATGTAGCATCTTCTGCGCAGGTGCAGTCATGACTCACCATGATTCAGCTTTTCCAGAAAGCAGGGACCAGTCTTAGAACAGGGTCTCTGTCCTGTATCAAAGTCCTTTGTCTTAGCCCTGGGGCAGTTCCGGAGTTTCCTCCTCCCTGACTATCTCCTGCCTCAAATGCACTCAGCCACACCTGCCTGGGCCCAGCTTTATCTTTGATAGAATTAAGTAAGTTGTTTGGAGTTACTTATCGACTAAGCAGCTCAACCACAGTTTGATTCCCGGACTCCAAGCCCATGCTGCACTCAGGTAGGAAGACTGATTGAGCACCCTAAACAAAGCGTGAGGAGCAAAGCCAGTGCCACATGAGTTCTATGAGGGTGAATAGCCACACACAAGGGAAGACCCTGAGAGTGTTAAGCTTATCACTTAAAAATACTGTTTTCCAACACATTTTATTTTAAAGACACCATGGAACTCTGTACTTAGGACAAGTGAAATAACTGCTTTGAACCAGTGAGTAGTAAAGATGTGAGCGTATTCGACAAGTTAACAGACGTGACGTGATAAAATTCTTTATGTAGCAGCCAGGATGATCTCAGCCTTACCTCTCACAATCTAAGGATTCACTTCTGAGTAGGCCATTAGCAGCAATAGCAGACATCTGGGCCTCCACCTTTACAATCTTGTGTTTGTTTTTTGAAAGTTGCTCAGAACCCAGACAAGGTGCTATGTATGGGGTGGGGGGGGGGCTCAAATGCACCACAGGATCAAGACCCAAATTTGACAGACAAGATACAAAATTATCAGCTCCATTAACTGGCTTTCCATTGGGATGCTTTTCAATATAAATTTTCAAAAAGGTTCCCACAGTCAAATCTATATGTACTTTCCTTTGTGATTTTTCCCCATGTTCCCATGTTTGCAAAGTCCTTTTCCCATTTGGAAAATGTACATTTTAAGTTTTCTTATACTTGTTTTTTATGGTTTTATAAATAAAACAATAACTTACAAATGAGAAAGCACTTTATTCTCTCTTTAGAAATTAATTGACGTATGTCATGTCTCTCTTTTTTCTTATTTCCAATCATTTGTTACTCCCTTTCTTCGGTACCATTTTTGGAACCATTCTTCCTTTCCCCCAGTAACTGTTAAAGCCACTTATTTCATGTGCCAAAGTCTTACTGCTACAAGGTATGTTAACTGTTGTGTCTTCCAGAGCATGCTGCCCTACTGACATGTCAGTTCTTGCGTTGCTGCCAACACCAAACCGATAAACAAATCCGGCCGAAAGGTGTGATTCTCGGCCCTCTTACAATGTGCCTTTTGAAACGGCAGGCCCCTCACTGTGTCCAGAGTTCCCTGAACTCCGTGTGCTGTGGCCGAGTGGCCCTCTTAGGGGGTGTAATCCACTTCCTTCTTTTAAAAAAAAATATTTATTGATTTGAGAGAGAGAGAGAGAAACAGAGATTTGTTTTTCCACTCACTGATGCATTCATTGGTTGATTCTTGTATGTGCCCTGACTGGGGATCGAATCCACAACCTCTATGTATTGGGACAAAGCTCTAACCAACTGAGCCACCCGACCAGGGCCATCCCACTTCTTTCTAACACTGGCTCACCCCGCCCATAGAAGAAAATAACTAGTAGTGTGGAAGGAGCCCAGCAAGTGACAGAGCATGCACATACTTGGATAAGGGAGAAAATCCAAAACAAAGTTCTTAAATTATCCTGGTTAAAAAAAAATTGTATCTCCTAAAAGGTCACATACTGTATGATTCCATCTATGTAACATTTTGAAAGAATAAAATTTTAGAAACGGAGAACAGATTAGTGGTTGCCAGGATACGGGGTTGGGGGTGGTGGGCAAGAGACAGTGTGTCTGGTTCTAAAAGAGCAACACGGGAGACGCCGGTGCTGACGGAAATATTTACTATCTTGACTACAGCCATGGGTAGACAAACCTACGCGTGAGAAGGTTGGATAGCTCCAGGTACGCCCGCACACACAAGTACAAGTAAAACTTGAGGAAATTGGAATGATGGGTGCATGGACTGTTTGGATATCAATATTCTGATTGTGATACTGTACTATGGTTTTGCAAAATGTTACCATGGAGGAAAATTGGGTGTAACGCGAGGAATCTAGTATTTGTTACTACGACGTGTGAATTCTACAATGCTCTCAATAAAAAGTTTTAGCCAAAAAAATCAAAGGTCTTATCCCCATTATTAGTTTCAGCTTTTTGCAACTGGTTGGAAGCCTGTCGTGAAACTGCAGCGT